TCCAGTGGTCGCATCCTCTTCTTCTTCTTCTGAAGTACGGAAGCTAGACCGCACGAAAAGCAACGTTCCATATGTTCAAAACTGAAAATGACTATTTAGTGGTAGTCACTGTGGTGACAAAACGTGGGGTTTTCCAAACGGCGAAACAATTTCGGAACATTTAAACGAATGATTCCCTGCGTTAGTTATTAGTGAACTCCAGGGCACCGAATCGCGCAGATTTGCTAATATGAATTTTGGAAATCGATAAAGCCCTTGCTTCTCCAAAAATGACCTGCGTGTTAGCAAACGGATTTCCACTGTTACCACAGGGCAAAAATGCAATCTCTATTTAGAAGAACTCTCGAGAGTAAATTATTCTCTTCTCAAAGAAAAACACGCTCCGATGCGGAACTGAAGTCTAGGACAGGTCTTAACATAGGAAATTGTCCGAATATGTATATCGCAACGCCCACTTTCGTTCAAATTCATAAACATTACGCCTGATAAAATTACGTGTACACATTTTCTGCGCATGAAAAGGACATTTCCTTGAAGAGGCTGAACGAGCGAGCAAAGTTTGCAACGTTTAAAATGGTCGACAATTCTCATATCAGTCTCTGTCATCAGGTTTCAGGTGACAGGTCGCGTCTCCGATGGAGCCCATGGGCACTGGAATGACGAGTTCTGACGTTTTTGCCGATAATACTTAGTTGTACCTCAGTCACAGACTACGAAAGGGTTAAGATTAAGATGCAGTCAGATGGCGATCGAACTCCTAAGCCAGATACCCCACCATTTGAGCCATAGGATCATGCCTTGACGTGTACTTATCACTTAGCTTTTTAGACTTTCTCATGCTCAACAAATAACGGTTCACACCGCCTCCAACTAATCTTTTTGTCGCCATTGTTGTCCTTTTTTACTATCTATGTTTTCATACATTCCGTGTATGCAAAGCAAACTATCAACTCTTTGGCACACCCTCATGAATACGTTCCTTGCGTTCATACTGTCCCAACGGAGAAAAGGACTCCACTCTCAGAAACACTTTATATTCCCTGTTTCTCGGATGCCTTCGGTCGCAGAGCGTGTCGACTCTGTACCTATATGTCGATTCGACACTGCTACAATCTCCTTTCTACCTCGAGAATTAGCTTCCAGACGCCTGTCCGCGTTTGCTTTCAGATTTTTCATGGCAGTTCGAGCGACCGTCGCGAACAGCGATGTCCACCGTGTGCCCCTCTTCATGCACACTCCTTCTGAATTTAGAACCGTGGTGGTCCTTCAGACAGACGGTACTTCACCTCAACTGCTAAGGTGGTTGCTTTATCATGCTGCTATTTACGGTTGCTTATGGAATACTTGCATATTCTGAGAGAGCAGGCGTTGGTGGGGTTTGGTTCTGCAGCCCCACTTACTTGGTGCCACATCGTTAGTTTATTAAAACAATTTATGTAACATACACAACTAAGCCACTTGCAGGATTAGAAGGTAAAGAGAACGCAAGCAGAGCTCAAGGCACGCGCAGGGAAGCGACTGAAGGTGGCGTGTACACACTCCTCCCCAAAAAACAGTCATTCGCTGGATTAGGAGGATATGGGGGCACAGTTACAGCTGGAAGGCTATTAAGGGTACCACGGGGGTAATTCGCGGTGCATGACCACTGTAGTGAAACCGACAGAGTTCCGCATCGTCGGAACAAATATATTAACAAGTCTACTTGGCCGCTCGCTGGATAAGGATAATAAAGAGAGTCCAAGCAGGGCTCGAACCAGGTGGAGGGAAGTGCGTGTGAACTGATAACTGAAGTAGCCGAGGCTGGCGTATGAGTACTCCTCGCCCCGTGGCCCAATCATTCGCTGGGCTAAAGTGGTAAGGAAGATGTAAATACATGATATTTGTAAAGTCGGCGTATTCGCATCTACCAAATTTTTTTAGAAAGCTAACCATATGCTATCACTCAAGTAGGGCCTCAAAACTAAACCTCGCCTAGGGCTAGGCGTTTGCCAAAACAAATACTCTATGTCATCCCTAGTACTGCTGTTTATGGCTTAAGGTCGCACGACTTCGTAAATCGAAATTCTGCAAAGAGGGAAAAAACATTCGCCTTTTCTAATAAATAACATAACTACTTAGATCTTGCCTCACCGGATTTACGCGGAACAAAAATTACTTTCATATTGGTGTGTATCGATTTGTTAAAGTTCCCTTGTTCAGATTAATGCCCTCGAGTATAAAGACGTGTACTAATTCGCGGATGGGGTCTAGGCCAGCTATTAACATGGAAAATTGCGTGAATACAAAAGTTGGCTTCCGCCAAACTCATTGCCCAGTAACATTAATTGAAAGCCCATTCGGTGTAAAGAAAGACTTTTTCAAAGCATGCTAGACTAATAAGCACAATGCTCAACATTTGAGGTGCCCAGATCTGGTCTTCTAAATTTCAGTCCTCACAATACATCAGTTACTTCATCCCAAATCGGGTCTAAGGGACATGGTCCTAGGGATCTTTGCTGAAGGGTGTTCCCTCCCAACTTATTTGCCTTCATCACACTGTCCTGGCCCTGAATTAGCCGAATCCTTCCACTCTCCTTCCTTTTTTATCGTTTTGCGGTCGTCTGTGAGTCTTAAATGCAGAGCTCAAATGCAGACTTTTCTCCTGGGCGGCTTTGTGTAAATTCACGGTGATTTTATGCCAAGCTATGCTTGCTGGGTAAAATGTTGTCTTTTAGTATAAATGCAGTAGAGATTTTATAGCTAAAGTGTAACCTTGATGGCGAATATTTCGAAACCCTGACTAGGTCAGCTGAGAGGCGCACCCGTCCCGCTTTGCGCCTTGCGACTCAATCTCGAGCCCCACCAGCAGCCGCACAGCAACAAATGGACAGAATAGCACTGCTGACAGAAACAAGGGAGACTGGAGCGACCATTTCGGGTCTGTCAGCCGTTATCAGCCAGCTATACCAAACCCCCTAGGTTTCGCAACACCTGAGTCTCAATCCCGCGACCTGGTAGTTAGAAATCCAACGTCCTAACCACTGACCCACAGGTGTGACTGGCTGATGACACCTAGTTACCCGCAAATGACCACTTCAGTCTCCCCTGGCGCTGTCGGTAATGCTATTCTGTTAGAGAGCTTGCAGCCTTCAAGGAACGGAAGGCAGTGATTACTACACCAACTAATCTCCCCTCCCCCGGTGTGTGTGTGTTCTGTTTTGCAGACTTGATAGGCAGCAAGATATTAGGCCTGGTTCAACTTATTGAGAATAATGTAGACGCAGTGCTCTATTCAATCACCTCGAAATGGTTAAACAAGATATTCGTTCCAGAATTGCGTATTTTTCTGGGCATTGAAACAGGAAGGACACATCCCCACGGCGATGGTTATGGCAGTCCCGATGCCTGGCCACACACGTCCTGTTCAATTGTCAGACTAGGGAATCCGAAAATAAACAGTTGAGTCTGGTAGGTATCGCCTATATGCTCTTTGACCCCCCCTCCCCCACCGTCTTAAGACACGGAGCCAGGAGCAGCCCGTAATCTAGGCGGCGAGGTGCTAAACTCCAGGGAAAAGAGGGTTAAGGTTAGGATTATTGTTCGGCCAAGAGCGTGGGAATATTTAGCCTTCCTGAAATTTAACGCAAGGCCAACTCCATTACACGTACAGTGAGTTGGCTTACTCATGAAATCTCAACAGAAATTCCCAAATGCATTTCCGTTTCGAATGATTAATTAAGTAGGGTTGTAAAACAAATCATCGTGCAGCATAATTCTATAATAATTCAGTTACCCCAGGAAGCCGGCTTTCTAATAAAATTCTTTCCAGCTGCATGCTAAAACTATACTTCGTAAAAAATGAAAACTTAAGTAGCATGCATTTTTCCATCGATTTTCGATGCCAATAAAGATTTAATTATATTTCGTGGCAAACATGTATAAAAACATTCATTCTTTTCCTCATTCAGTAGTAAACTCCGTCATCTTTCAATTTTACGTACGAAGGAGGGGTATAATTTGGTTTTATAAAACTTTTCCAGTTCTTGAATAATGTTGAACCCGACCTGCCGTTACACTTGCATTCAGAGTTCCCAAACTACAAGCCGTATAATTAAGCCGTTCTCTGAGGTATTAGGAGGAGACCATATGGGTTTCATCAAATTAAGCAGCGGATTTGAGCCACATTGTTAACTTTACAAGCCACATCGGTAAATGCAGAGACATGACGTTTTATGAAGGGCCATTTAACGGTATTAAAAAATCTCACAATTATAAACTTTTTTAAAACCGAATTACACCCTTTCTTCCAGTGTAAAATTGAAGGAAGACGTAATTTTCTACTGAATAAGCAAAAGAATGAACATATGTATGCATGTATTTCATGAAATATAATTTAATTCTTAAGGACGTCTAGAATAAATGAAAAAATGCATGATACTTAAGTAACCATTTTTACGGAGTATGGATTTTGGATGCAGCCGAAAAGAAGTTTATTCGAAAGCCGGCGTCCTGGGATAATTGAAATTACTATAGAAGTATGTTGTACGATGATTGGTTTCGCAACCCAACTTAACTAATCTTTTCGAAACGGAAGCATATTTCGGAATTTCGGTTGACATTTCACGAGTTAGCCCACTTACTGTATGTGTAAGGTCCTCATTCTTGTCTTCTTCCCTAGGAGAGGATATATGATAGATCCTGACCGACAGTCACAGTCGATTTCGCCACCTAAATCATGTTCAATAGCCATGATGTGTTTTATTCTTGGGGATTTTCTCAAACTTTAGAAGGTTAAAATCTCCTGAAAAGTGGACAGAATCGAAGTTTTGACATCTGCTTATCAGTTTATAGACTCCAAAATCTCTTTCGTAATTTCGCGTGCGTTTCCTGGCCCCAAAACCGCATGAGATAAGGTGAGGGTTGTGTTGGTGGCGATGGTGGTGATGGTTGGAGGCGGGTGCACCACTGGTTCAGCAGCTTCAAGGTCTCCTTTAGAGTCAGAGCTCAGTGCATGTGGACGACTATTTGGCCTTGGCTAGAGCCTGTTTCAAGGACTGTATCGAGGTGGCGGTATGTGCGATTTCTGCGTAATTGGGTGCTGGGTTGGATTGACTCCCTCTTGCCGAGACCTTCGGCCTTCCGCCTCCGGCTTCACCACGTGCGACCACGGGTCTCCTACCCCTCGGCGGACCTACGGCGTTTGGCGAAAGTCTCGAATTCCTGGCAGCATTCACCGGCCTCACTGGTACCCTTCGTGGAGTCGGCACTGGCGTCTGAGTTGCCATCATACACATCGCTGTGGCCTGCACCGCCACCGAACTGCTGTCTTCACGCCGGCGTCTGTTAGCGCCTGTCTGCGTCTCCACCTCGGCTGTAGGCTGTTCGTCATCACGCAAGTGCAACGTAACTGGTGGAACGGGAGGACCTGCAGTGGGGATGGAGGCGCTAGAGAGCTTGGTACCGATGTGGGCTAGGACATCGGGCTCACTCTCGGCAAGGGACTTGCTTTCTGCGCCCCCCTGCCCCACGTCTTCTTCCTCATCCTCGCTGGCACTTAATTCCCCCTCGGAGTAACATCTGCGAAGATTGAGATCACGTTGAAGGCTTGGGTAGTGTTTGCAACTGGCATTGCTTCTCCTGTCCGGTTTGACCGCTGAAAAAAGGGAGGAGGCAGTTTTCTCCCGGCTGTTTAATTCCAGACGCCAGTTGTTGAGAGTTTCGAGGAGTTTAAGGGAACCCTGGCGCATGAGGCATGTCACCACGCAGGCGGCCGAATGTCCTCTCTCATGTGCGCAGTCAGGCCTTCTGGCTGTGTCTAAAAAAGACCAGATAGGGTGCAGTAGGAGGTTGTTCTCCTAGGTGGCAGAATACTCATGTACAGCTTAGTTTTAATCTATGCCAGGACTTGATGAGTTTGAAATCAACACTTTCAGCGAGATATCGAATTGCTGGTTGACGCAGCTGTCATTTCAGAAACTGGCGGCAAGACGGTCGCCCCACCTATTCTTCCAATTCCGACTGCGCACTGTACACCTATTAAGATCAGGCCATCAATCTGGATAGTTGTAGACACTAGTAAATAAGAGTAGGACGGCCTCAGTCAGACTAGGGGGGAATTTAAGCATAAGATCTGATGCAATGGGCAGAAAATGATAAATAGGGGGAAAATATATTGAAGAAAAATGTGGAGAAGGGGAAGAAATGGAAGACGAATGGGATTTGAAATTCGCATGTGGACTTCATTTAGTTTCACGGTCTACTGAGTGCATTTATACGGAGCGGGACAGAAACTTTGTATCCGCTGTTGCCTACGTCATTGTTCTATTATTTTAAGGGATAGGTGGGAATCCTTTCAAGAAAAACCCACCGGAGCACTGGGATGCTGCTTCCTTACTTAATTTTTGTCTAACGAGGAAAAACCTTTCGGAGTCAACTCTCTGGATGCTCTCATGTATTTTCTCCAAAAACCCTAGAAATGCTTGTCTTTGAATAAATGTTTGCAGATGAGGGACACCAAGAGAGACCAGGAAGGCCGGGGTGGCCACTTAGGGTTTAGTGGACATCGTCAGCTGGCCAGTACCGGTCCCAGACTACTTCAATCCCACTTTTCATTACGTGATTATGCCGACAAGTGGGGTTAAAGTTGTCAGTTTCCCAGCCGATCGAGTGCGGTAAATGGCCATCCAAGTCCTCATTGTCTCTGTCGATACTCCTTTCAAAACATATGCCCTGAAATGAACTCCAACAAATGCAAGGGAGAACGGGATGGCCATTTCGGACTTATTGGTCGTCGTCAGCCATCCATGCCCAACCACAAGCTTGGGGGACCTGGAGTTCGAACCTGGGTCTTATGGTCATTGAGTTTTAGGCAGTCCAATGCCTTAGCACTGAATCACGGGCCCTTTGTGTGGAGCAGTCCTTGTCATCTGACCGTTAAGCCCCGTTTTGCTATAGTTACTATACCCGATCACAACCGACAGGACAACGAGCCTGTGGTTCAGTGGTAGAGTATTGAACTACCCAACACTCAGTGACCAGAAAATCCCACTTCGAACCTCGGCTCTCCAAACCTAGGGTTGGATATGGTAGACTGACGAGGAGTCGTGAGCCAGAAGTGGCCATTCTAGTCTTCCTTGTCTCTCACCGCACCCCGTCTCTGTATGTATTATTATTTGTTGTGAGACGGCCTGTATCAGCACAAGAGTGAGCCCCAAGGCAAAAAAGACGAGCACGTCCCGCAATCTGACAGGCGAGGAACAATCTAGTTCCGACCAGACGCTCAAACCAAAAAACTGGCCAACACTTCTGTACATTAGGAATGTGTCCGAACTAGTTGAAAGGCACCTGTGGAGGCACCAAATACACGTGGTGCACAAATCGACGACTACACTTCGTAACCGGCTTGTACACCCTAAGGATAGGGTTGGCTATTCAGATAAAAAGAAGTCGTCTATAAGATATCATGCGAAAACTGCAGTGCGGTTTATAGTGATCGAACTGGAAATCTGCCTCTACACGAATACACGAGCATTAGTTGGCAGTAAGAGGGCGAGACCACTTGTCCCAGGCTTTCATGCTTACGCTGGAAACTGGACAAAAATTTTCATGGAACAAGACTCACATTTCAGCTGTCTGTTCATCTAAGAAAGGCCGCGAATTTTTAGAGGTCATTCATTCTGATAACTCGTGCATCAACCGGTACATCGGACTAGACGCTGTGTACAAAAAGCTCAAGGAAAAGTGGAAAAGGTGTTAGCTAATTGGAACGTGATACCAAGCCACAGTAAAGGCTGACTGACAAGAATGACAGGACCCAATTTCCAGCCAAGGGTGCACGCAGTCACGCCACCGTGAGACGGCGTGGGACGCAACTTATCGCGAATACCACCCGCTGCACTCATATTTCTCCCTCCCCCCTTCATGGCGCGACTACAAAAACCACTCATTTGATGTTGCCTACTCACAGTCTCTGACGATGGCCTCCTGTACGAGACCGAAAGCTCAGACTAATAAACCCACTGTCCCAGAGATCGGGTCTTCATCTTCTTTACAACAAGAACCTGGGATTCGCATATTCGCTTCCATCCAGGACAACATCAGTTTTAGGCACGTTTAAATTTTAACTATTTTGCACGCTTACTTCACGTTTAAGGACGACTTGTGGAAGCAAAGTCGAAAAGTTACGAAATAAGTTCTGCTATCTTTCCTAAAGGACTTATCTCTTTTGAATTGTGCTTTTCGGAAGGTCCATTTTCGAATGCATATATATATATGTCCTCAATCAGCAGTGTGACAATCCCACCTCTCACTTTTCACTTTGTCTGACGACGGGTTGGTGCAACCAGTTCGAAAATTTTCGAGTAAAACTGTATTCCCGACGGACTTCCTCCTTTCATCATATATATGTACATCTGCATATGAAAAGAAAGGATGGTCTAGGGGACCATAGTTGTTTTATCCTGACGTTTCAAAATCAAACAAGCTTCCATCATAGGAGGTGAGTGTGGTATCGCGCCTCGCCGAATTTATAGGTGGGTGACAGTAATGCTAAGATGGGTTTGCGTATGCAGTCAGGGCAACAGTGAGGCAGGGGAGAGGGAGTCCTAGAACGTCTTGCCGTCACGTTTGTGTCAGTACTTAGTCGTCGTGTGCATCAATTAGTTCTCGTGTCCTCCGAAAAGGCAGCAGATACAGGAGCGATCCTACACTATGAGAGCAGTAACTCGATCTCTCGCAAGCGGGCTGCCGTCAATAGTCTATTTCATAGAGTAAAAACATCATTATGACAAAGAAAACTACCGACTCAAGTTAAATTATCTTAGTTATTTTCCCAAAATGGTGTATCCTAGAAATTTTGCACGTCAATACATTGAACATGCTATGCCACGCTTTAAAAAAACCATGGCCCTCGCTGTCTGGTGTGCGCTGACAGTTATCTGGCTTCTAATTCCCTGCCGGCAGATGCGTGTGCGCTCCTGCTGGGTATACAGGCCGTGTGCGTGGTTACTCAGGGACTTGTGTCACCCTTCTCTTTCTAACCTGCCTGCTAACAGTCGGCCCAGTAGATGTGTTTGTTTGGAGAGGCCGACTGGTTGTCTGAGAGTTAGGCTGCAATGGCTCTTTCATAACGTGGCCTCTATGGTGGGGTGGTACGCCTAGGTGAGGCTTCATTCCTCGTGTCATCCACCTGTTCCCTCTCACTTCCGGTCTTCTTGGCTCTGTCTTGACACCGGACCCAGGTGGGGGAGGGGAGAGCGCGTTAGGTGCTGCGCAAGCCTTCCCTCACTATAAAGTACTTAACGTGCAAGTCACCGTGCCTGGTCTCCGCCTGCTGTGGAGCACCCGGTGGATATCGTCGGCCACGACGGTCAAAGTGTCACATGAAACAAGAATCAAAATAAAAAGGGCTGGATAGTTTTTACTGATTTTATTTTGTTGGTTCCGTCGATTTCAAGTAACCTTTTGGGAATCCTGGACAGATGCAGTGTTCTTGACTCGGATGGTGAACAAGGACCTGCATCAAGCGTTTCCTGTGGAAACCCCTGTCACTGAAAATTCTCCAAAAACCAAACTTACCGACAGGGCGCCGGACTGGTCAAGTTCACTGATTGGGCAATGAGACGACTCATGTATTTGCAATTCCGTGGACCAATCATAAATAAATCCTGGTATTTGTGGATGCACACGCTGGAATCGGCCGAGGGACAGAACAGACTTCGTGAAGGTAGATTAGGACACAGAATAGTCGAAGACAAAACTTTAATAATTAATAGCCAGATGAAAACACTCTTCCGTTAGTAGAATGAGAACTTCTGAGAAATGAAACAGGCTGTAATAGTGGAGGAAACGTCAATGCAATGACATTGGCATTCGTATGCGCCGAAGTCCGGATCTGTTCAGCTTTCAAGGTTCTGCTAGGTGTTAGAATCTCCCGAAAAAAAAACAAGTTCATTAGGTCGTGCAGCTTTCACCCAACAAGGACGTCCGACACTGACGAAAATAGTTCGACAGGGAAGAATATCCTAGTAGGTCGTTTAGCCATACTTTCAGTTCACGTACTAGCTAAAAGCCGAGGCATATGTTTATTTGATTTTCTGCTGGTTGCTAAATATATCTGGAGGCCACGGTTCGGCAGTGACAGAAAAAAATCGGGTGAAATATGTAAATGGACATTTAGCTATTTTCAGCGGCATGTTTCGAAGTGACTGCCCAATTTTCTGCTGGTAACCTGTGTCGCAAATTAATGACGGCCCCTTTCCTATTTTACCTGCATATTGTAATACAGACGCTCCGTTTCGTTCTGAGGGTCTAGGTCAAAATCCCACAGGGGCAGCCGCTCAGTCACAAGCCAACACTGATCTAGAAGTACTTTCGACAAAGACAAAAGTGAACCCAGTGGTCATTTATGGCCTCCTGGCATTCGTAAACCAGGCCTGCCTTAAGGATGAACCCACGAGCACCATTTCCCAGTAACTCTGAATACAGCCAGTCATAACCCATGGGGCATGCGGCAGTGGATCCATGTTAGGACATTTGACTCGTCACGCACTAACGAAAATGTCCACCCCATGCGGTTGTGGGCTCAGGACGGTACCTGACTCGAGAATAAGTTTATAGTGATGGCAGAATTGCCAGCATATGCAGCACTCTGACTCCCTTGTCTATCTGGACCCGGTGGCAAGACAGAGTCAGGACGACCGGTGGCGGGCCTAGGCGCAGTGGCTGACAAAGCTGTACGACCCATCTACGCGGACCATACACGACCTGGTCCCCGCACAGTGGACCAGGTCTCCCCAGAACAAAAAAAGGCCGGCCCAGGTTCCATCGAAGTGGAAGTGCTATAGAGAAGGAGCCACTGAGGCTGACTCTCCGTTCTGAGAAATCCGAGTTAGTCAGTCAACTGTCAGCATGTCAAGCCACGACTTTCAGCTCGTCAGATTTTTTAATGGTGGGGAATGCGCTGGAGTGCCGCGGGGCGGATTCCCTAGAGTCAGTCTCACTACCTCTTCCCTCTCCCGCGAACCAGTCGGATATCCAAGTCTGTCAACCATCTGGTGCTGAGATAGAGTGCAGTGGCTGGCGCGGCGCAGGGCCTGCGCATAGGCGTGCCACCACACCTCCCATGTGTGGTGCTTGCTATGGGATGCGTGGACTCTTTGCCGCCTGTTTAACGCGCGCCGTGCCCCGATTTGGCCCCGTTTTGATCTAGCGTGGGCCCGTTTGACTCAAGGACCGAATAGTGCAGTTTCAAAGCCCTAGCTGGTATTCGGCCGGCTGATGGCCGCGAATAAACCAGCAATTGGCACTCCCGTCATCCTTAATACGTCATTTATCAGAATTGCTTTGTAGTGGCTTCCCGCTGCTCATCGTTCGTTTCTTCTGGCGGAAAACAATTACAAGAGTTTTGGGATATGTTGCTATGACAGGGTGACTTTTTACTGTTACTGAACGAACGCATACTACTGCCTTTTTAAGTCATCTGTATCAGTTCTTGTTGTTGTTGTTGTTCAAGAACACACGAGTGGATACGTCTCGAGAGAGTCTGGCGAGGAGAAGTCATTGATAATAAGGATGCTAGGAAGTGGGAATGCCCCATTTCTGAAAATTCTCACAATTTCAGGTTGGGTTTTCTGGTCAAACAATTTTGTGCATGGAAGACTAACCGTCATGGGTGATCCTTTTTTTAAAAAAAAATCCCCTGATCCTTGTGATGTTTTCGCATCCTGAGTCTGTGTTTGTACTCAGGCAGAGGACCAGTCAGAAATCAGCCTACCATTATTTAGGTCATTCGGGTCAGAGTGTTCAGTTCCCGACTGTATTGTACATGCTTGCTTTGCCACAATCCAACTGCAATTTCGTTTTTAGCACAAGACCTAACAGTATCTCGTTCTCCAAGTGATGTAGAAACTGTATGATTGACCCTCATGCCCACGGAAAAAATTACGTAAAAATTCGCCCTCATCCAACTGACCTGCTCACAGACGAATAGTCGAAGAAAGACATTTTAAGAGACCAAAGAATTTCCGTCTAAACTTTCCAATAGCGATAGGAAAGACATTTCAAAATACAATGTGCGGCATTCGGGTGTCACGTCGTTCATAAAAGGTTGCAAATGAATGAACTTCTACATTTATTTGCGCTTAAATAAATTCAGTTAGGTTGCCGCTAAAATATTGCTAGAAATGCATGACTTTAATTCGCGTTTTAGGCAATTATGGCTTCTCCAAAGTTAATGTTTGAGGGAAGAGATGAGCGTGGTTTTGAAAGAAATTGTAATACAACAATTTATTAAGGTACTTGTCTACGTATTCCGGTATCCACAGCATTCTCATGCCCACTCTCAAATCATGCTGCTTATTTCAACTAGGTTCAAATTCTCTTCGGAATTTCTGCAAAAACTTCTACGCAATTGAACTCAGCGGTCGGGAATGTCTCTAACTGCATTGAGGAGGTCTTTGCTGCACATAATTGTCTGCATCATACTCGTATATGTCGGAAAACGTGCAAAAAATGCTTTATTTTACTAATTTGGTAGAAAATCGCATTATCTTCATAATTTATGCCCGAAGAAAGTGTATATTTAAGTTTTAAAAAAGTTTCCCGATTCGCGAATAATTTTCAGCCTGATCTGCCATTGCAACAGCATTGGGCAATTTCAGTCTACAAGGTGCATGGTTTCTACGTAAGGAAAACCATATATTCCTCTATGCCTTTAAGAAGATACCATATAGATTTCATGAAATTTTGCTATTGAACCGGACTGTGTTGTACATTTCATGGGGAGCATTAGTAAACGGACATGTGCGGTCTTTCATGCATGGACTTCGCACGCTCTTAAAAATCTCATAATAAGACACTTTTTAAAACCTAAATGTACATTTTCTTCGGGCATAAATTATGAAGATAATGTGATTTTCTACTAAATGAGCAAAATAATGCATTTTTGTGCACGTTTTCTGTAAAATATATTTTAATTTATAAGACCGTCGAAAGCCAATAGGAAAAAGGCGTGCTACATAAGTTGTCACTTTTTACCGAGTGTGGTTTCTACAGGAGGTCATAAGGAAGTGCATTCAAAAGCCAACATCCTGGCGAGTCCGAATTTTTATAGCGTTATGTTGCATGATAATCAGTATAAAAACCCCACTCAAGTTATCCTTCCTAATCGGAAACGCATTCCAGAGTTTTGGCTAACATTTAATGAGATCGGTCACACACTGTATATCTTGCAACGAGCAAAAACTCAACGAAACATATGCCTCGGCTTTTAGCTAGTACCTGAACTGAAAGTATGGCTAAACGACCTACTAGGGTATTCTTCCATGTTGAACTATTTTCGTCAGTGTCTGACGTCCTTTTTGACTGAAAGTTGCACGACCTAATGAACGTGTTTTTTTTCGGGAGATTCTAACACCTACCAGAACCGTGAAAGCTGAACAGATCCGGACTTCGGCGCATACGAATGCCAATGTCATTGCATTGACGTTTCCTCCACTATTACAGCCTGTTTCATTTCTCAGAAGGTCGCATTCTACTAACGGAAAAGCGTTTTCATCTGGCGATCAATTTTTAACGTTTTGTCTTCGACTATTCTGTGTCCTAATCTACCTTCACGAAGTCTGTTCTGTCCCTCGGCCGATTCCAGCGTGTGCATCCACAAATACCAGGACTTATTTATGATTGGTCCTCGGAATTGCAAATATATGAGCCGTCTCATTATCCAATCAGTGAACTTGACCAGTTCTGTGTCCTGTCGGTCAGTATGGCCTTTAGAGAAATTTCAGTGACAGGGGTTTCCACAGGAAACACTTTATGCAGGTCCTTGTTCACCATCCGAGTCAAGGACACTGCATCTGTCCAGGATTCCTAAAAATTACTTGAAATCGACGGAACCAGCAAAGTAAAATCCGTAAAAACTGCAATCCACTACTGGCTACAGATGAATGACGGAAGAGATTTCAGCATATGCTGTGCAACTCTGCTGTCATTACAATCAATTTAATGCACTACTCACCATACTGTGTTGCATACGGTGAATATCGTTGTTTGCGACCGTAGTATTGTCACCTCTTTGGCCCTGTCACCTTACAAAAATTTAGGCATCTTGCCGACCACCTCAAGTTGTGCCCTCTTTTCAGTTCAAAAAAATGCACGTTTTGTAGGAAACTGTAAGGCACATTTGCGCAAGCTCAGACCAGCATACGTGCTCTTTCTCGTCAAGGTGGTCCTGATTTTACCCCGATTATTTCCTAGGCTTAGTCAAGATTGAAACATTTGGCGCTCATCTAGTTACTTTACATTGTCAATCAAACGCGAGAACCCACACGTAAGGCAATACTTTCCGAAAGTGCTTCATGTTAACCACAAGTCAACCATGGGTTGATCCGGACAACGAGAAAAAAGGACTTACCGGCAGGGCTGACAGCATCCGTGGAGACTTGAGTCGTTTGGTCACATCTACTTGGGGTCTGCGGCGATTCGGTTGCAGCATCGCACTTATCGATCGCGTGGGTTCCCGAGGTCCCCGGTCCACGGAGAGCAGATGTGTTTGTTCCCATGACGATGGCGACAATGTACAAGCTCTTGTAAGTCCAAATGACGGACGGAAACGATGGACGTGCCTTTCGCTAAAGATCGCTCATGCAAATTAGCTCTCCCAAGGTCATGGTCTTGTGTGCGCGTCATCACCGTAGCAACAATGAACAAACATCAAATATGCGCCGTTAAAGCCGCTGGAAGTAGGGGTGTGTTAACGCATACCAATTTGGGAAAAACATACCCTGTCGGTGAACCTGTCTTCCGTTTTCAAAAAAAGCAGAAGGGCAGGACACCGGACAGTTTATCCAGTCGAACTTGAAGGCTGAGCACTCAGGTAGAAATTATAATTGAGAACGATGAGACGGTAGGTTAAACGAAAGCTCTCCAAGGGATTTCACCAACTCCCTACCCTCGTCCCTCCTACCACCGTCTGATATAGCGAATGTTCGCGCTAACATGGACGCGCCCCGGGCGATGCAATTGAGAGGGTAAACCGGTGCGGGGAAGATAAGTCCCACGGCCAGGACATGTAGGCGTAATTTGCATCTGGGAAACCCGTTAGCCTAAAGACACTAATGAGTAAAGAATAAGACTGGTCGAGCATCGGAACAGTTTGTTTGTTGTTCTGAACTTTGGAAATCCTGCGGCAGTCCATCATCAGTGACAGTGGCAGCGACAAGAGGGCCGACAAGTGCAGGGAGGGCTATCCAATCATCGATCGATGACGCAAGACTGAAGGTGACTGCGCGGGATTCTGTACGCCGGCGCCAGATCGATAAACCGACTGACTGAGTTCTCATCCGGGACTCAAGCTTCAATCGATTCTCGGCTTGTCTGTTTCCGGCGTGAGCGATTATCTTGGTGGTTGCGAATTTAAACTCATGACCCATTTCGTAGGTGTGGGCAACCACTTACGATAATTCGTCTCCTCATCGCACAACCTTCGTGTAGGCGCGATCCGAGCATGCGTCCAGTCTGCCTTGTGAAGTTACAGGTACAATTTTGACACGGGATGCGACACTACCCCAGTTAGCTCTTCGAGACTTAATCACCGCAGACACCTAGGAACGACTCTGGCACCCGTGAAGTACCGAGTTTTAATTATGAAATCGGCCCCTTGTTCCACTAAATAGTAGAAGACAAAAAATAAAAACCTCTCAAGCTTCCTCCGACGCACCACAGGCTACCATTTTGAGGCCGCATGAAGTGTGCGGTCATCAAATGCATTAAGCAGTTGGGTTCTTCAACAAAAGTCTTTCATAGGTTCTTAAAACTCCAAAGATTCACCTTGGGACCTCCAGTGATCAGGAATCTCAAGTAAAGTGCTTTGGAGATTTTGCAGATCCGGATGGGACAAAATTTTCCCTTTAATACACTAACCGGATCAAACTTACTATAAGTCCTACCAATGCACACACGACGTCTGATTAGCATTTTAATCCATTATGTGCTCCTATATTTCAAAGACGCCATTAAGGAAATGATTGCAGACCTGTCTCCTACCTTCCCTGTACACTTTATCTCAAACAGGAATAGTTAAGGGGGACTAAGAGTCAATTGTAATCGCAGTGACTTGTATGCGCTCCCTAAATCCGTTCTCCTCGTCGGCGGGTCTTCCTGAGGCCGGGGTTTCTGTAAACGTGATTTTGGCTTCGTAACTCATCAGAAGGCGTGAACACTTTTCGAGCTCCTCTTAGCTATTAATGCACGTTCTGCTTTCGCAGTAAAATTGTGTGTGCGTCTCACTGTATACCATGGGCCTGTCTGTTTACAATGGCCAACGACACAAGGTTTCCCAAATGGAAAGCCGGAGAAGACAGAGTTAGTTGAACAATGTTTACTGCGGCAAGAGAACGTACAAGCGACTCAACAGGCAGTGGTTGCAATTCTTCTCTGCAGTATACTGCCAGCCGTTGGGGTTGTCAGCCCTGGCCCGAAGTGCGCGCGTCCGGGCTCTGTCCGCCAGCAACCAATCAGCAAAGGGATCCACGTCGATTGGCGTCGAGTTGTCGTCACGCCGGGGTCAAGTGACGTGCAGCGAAAACATCAGACCGTCGGGGACTGGAAGGCAGCATGAGTAATCAATCGACCACGGAAGTGAACACGGCTTCCGTTGACTATAATGCAGACTGGAGGGGCATGTGTGGAGGCTGGATTGTGCGCTGAGACCCGATACCGTCTCCGATGGGTTCGAGTGTGGATCCGGAACGTCGGGCGCATAAAAATGTTGTTTCGGTGATCGCATCTAGTTCTCCTGAAATAGGAGTTTTGGTGGAGGATGAGGAGGTTGTAGGTGGAGGCAGTAGACACTGAGGAACATGGGATAGGAAAGGTTGGGGGTCGGTGCAGCGGACAGGGGGGTCAGAACATTTTTGGCCTGTGGATCCGGTCTGTCGGTTCCTCTGGAACAGCAGTCTTGGTTCGGTCGATGTTGACCACCCCCGCTTATCACCGCGATGGACTCGCCAGATCTTGGTAGCGTGTGAGAATACCCAATACGATCTTTCATATGGCGACCACAACAGCCTGAGCACAGGGTCATAGCGAACGAAGATAAGAACAAACATGTGACTGGGTCGGTTGAGTTTGTGGCAGAACCGGTGATAGGGAACATATGGATCGTCGTAGACAGTGCACGAAACTACGAGGATGCTTATGTGCACCGCGGGAGGTTGGGGCAATCGTCTTGCCTGGTAGTCAAAGGGTAGCGCCAAACACTAATTCAACCGCGCTAAAATCCAGATGGGACTTCAGTGTCTCGCAAATATCAAGAAGATCTAGAGTCAGGTTGTCCGACCAGTTCGCTGAGTCCATTGGAGCATACGCGGTGTTGAGTTGACGGTAGAAACGCTAGACCATACCGATGGCTGCTGGAATGTAGGCTATCGTTCTAATGCTTGAGTGCTCAAGAAAGGTGCCAAGGACTAGGAGGCTCGCAGGCTCGAACTTGGCAGCTCAGCCAATCGTAACCGTTGATGGAACTCCGAAAATGGAGATCCAGCGACTTACGGAAGTCTTGACCATGATGCAGCCTTTCACATACTGTAATAAACGGGCTTCAGTCCAGCAGGAGTACCAATCTACACAAGTACGGAGGTGTGTGTTTATAGGCATTGAATGGAGGCTAGGGGGCCACAACATCCAGATGAACATGGCCGAATTGTGCGCCAGGTCTGGAAAAGGTGCCTGGAGGAGACTTGTTGTGGCGTGGAACCCTCTCTACGCCCGTGCCCAAGCTTTTACGCCTTTGTTCATGCCAGTCCCGTCAAACTTTTTTGCGAGGATCTGTTGGAAGGCTCGGATCCCACGGCGGGAGAGTGCATGAGGAGATTAAGAAACATCTCGACGCATCGAGGCGGGCACGGAGGGATGATGAGGAGTTGAGACGTCAGAAAGGATTACACCGGCACCGGTGGTCAGAGCAACGTCCACAAGTGAGAAATCAAGAAATCGACACATTTTGGTTTCCCTTGTAACTATCGTTTTGATAAGCTCAAAACAAAAATCGACTTCTTTCTCTCTTTCCCTGCGAATAGCTCTGCTGTAAACCGCCCACCCCTCTCGTGCTCTCCATCGCTCTCATCGGGCTACAATTTTACACCGGGATTTCAGGACGGACTTTTGGATCTTCGTACTGATGACAAGCCTGGATCACCAAGAGCAGTCACTCTGGTACGGCTTTCCTAATGAGTTTTGTTCACCAGCAAAAGGCTCGACCCTTGGGGCTCATTCTTTCGCACGTCACATTATAAATAAACATTGTGCAGTGACTCTATTACAGGCAGAGCATTCTTTTGTTCTAAGGAGTTTCTAATTGTGCTATTTCTAAAACCGTGAAGTGTCCATTCATACAGCATCGCACCAGCATGTTTAGTAATGCCACTTATAAAGGATATGAGATGGTCCACGTCTATTGCACGATTTTGAGAGCGCTATATGACTTCTTCCCAGAAGCTTAATGTTTGATGCTCCCTTGGCGGAATACATACGGCATGGGGTTTAAAAACCCTGAAAGCACGCGTAGCAGAAGGTGGGGCAAAAAATGTTTGCGAATTGAAAAGGCTCTCAAAAGCCGAAATAAACTTTCTCTTTAAGCAGAAAATTTGGAAAAACCGTAATCTGCTGCCGATTGTGGACAAAAAAAATACTGTCGTGCATGGTTTCCATGCAATTTATTTTAGTGTATGTGAGCATCGGAATCCGATGGGTAAACCCCTTTCTATGTAGCCGTTTTTACAGAGTGTAATTTTTGCAGACGACTGAAAAGAAGCTCATTCACAGGCCCGCATCCTGATATGACTGAAATATTTTAGGATTGTGCTGCGTGGCACCTGGTCCTACGACTTACTTAGGTAATCGTGTCGAATCGAGAGCATATTCTAGAATTTCGGTTAACATTTCATGCAACAACATATCTACTGTGAATTTTAAATCGACCGCTGCAACGACAGCACTTCGGACGGAGTATTGGTGACATGGTTCCCCGGACGAGTTCCCCTTCAGTCCGCTGTAGCGTATGCTCAAACCGTCTGACGTGGTGCATTTTCACTGCCAGGACGCAAGTGAAGTCCCACCTCTCAAACGCGGGACGTCAGCTGACGCCACAATATTCACTACATACGTCAGTCGTCGAATATCTCGAGGAGCTGTAAATCAGCAGTGTTTGTGGACCTCCAGTCTGTCAGAACAGGATGGCCTTCAGTGTAACTTAGTACATTCACACCGGCAGAATAACATTACCGATAAAGACAAGGGAGACTGGAATGGTCATTTCTGGCTACTTAGCCGTCGTCAGCCGGTCGTACCCATCTCCGAAGTGTGCAACGCCTGGGACTCGATCCCGCGACCTGTCGGTTAGAAGTCCAACTCCCCTAACCATTGGATATGACTGGCTGAGGACGGCTCATAAGTCAGAAATGGTCATTCCAGTCTCGGTTGTCTTTGTTGGCAATGCTATTATGCCTTTATGACGCGCCGCTGTGCGGTCGCTGGCGGGGCTCGGGGCAGAGCCCCAAGATAC